TTCGGCTTACATAAGCCATTATCAAAGATGTCAATTACAACATATTAAACAATATACGGACACGACAGTGATGATAGTCTGTCATTGTTTATATAGATGATTTCTAAGCAACGATAAACACGTGCATATAAGACGCTAGAAGCGAAAATCGCACCGCATCTCATGACGTCACACATGACCACACGAAAGTGAATTGGAGAAGTACGAAGTATGGGATGCCGTTATATATATATATATATATATATATATATATATTTGGTATGAAGTATGGGAAGTTGTTGGTTTATATATATATATATATATATATATATATATATATATATATATATGACATTCTGAAAATCGTTCATGATAGAATGTTTCGAAAAATAATAATTGCATATCGAAATTTATTACATTAAGTCGACATGGAGAATGCATGGATAAAACAATTCTTTCATTTATTTTCCATTCTGAAAGATTTTACACCTAAAAACTAGGACATTTTAAAAATAACTCATTTTCTTTCTCTGAAAACGTTTCGAGCTACGCCAGCTTTCTAGAAATAATATGAGATTTAATTATTTTAAACACACACACACACACAAATGAATACACACACCCATCATTGTCCATCTGATTGAAACCATTGGAGGCGAAATGCATTATCGGATATTATTTTCGAAATATACTTTTATTAACGTTTTCCAAAATGTCATAACTTATAACTTTTGTGATTACATACACAACTTTATTATCTATCTATCTATCTATCTATCTCTCTATCTATCTATCTATATATATTCCGATAATATTTCTTATTACTAAAACGTATTCTTAGTGGTTACACATGTTTGAGATGCATACCTATTCTTTAACTTTTATTTCTTTTGTTAAACATTACTAAGAAATCTCTGCTTTTGACTCCGTTGTCATTTTGTTTATTAACATGCATTTTCCTATATATATATATATATTAAAGGCATTAATATTACATAATTTTAAGCATTAATCTATGGCATTTATTGTCATTTAAAGAGTGAATATATTTTTGGGAATATCTTACATATATATATACACACACACACACACACACACACACACACATATATATATATATATATATATATATATATATATATATATATATATATATATATATATTACATCAATCATTCATACAAAAACAAATATTGAGGTTAATGATTTAAATGGCGAGAACCATTTCGCAAACAATTTCAATAAGTTACACTAACCTGGGATGTCTGTAGGAACAGACGAAAGCTTGTAAAAACTTAAAAAAGACCTCATGAAACTGGAATTTATAAACAGGATCATATCATTCTATATACAGGTTCGGGGTTAGTGTAACTTATTGAAATTGTTTGCGAAGATGTATTCTCGCCATTTAAATCATTAACCTCTATATTTGTTTTTGTATGAATTAAACCTATAATCGAAATTGATATATATATATATATATATATATATATATATATATATATGTGTGTGTGTGTGTGTGTGTGTGTGTGTGTTGTGTGTGTGTGTGTGTGTGTAAACAAACATTTTGTACCACAGAATTTAAATATGGCTTTGAAAATGACAGGGGACGCATTCTTTTCAAGGGACTTTTTCTTCCAACACTTATTCACAAATGATTCGTTGGAAAGGCAGTAATCAAAACGCCCAAACAGAAAAAAGTATATATATATATATATATATATATATATATATATATATATATATATATATATAAAGACAAATAAAGATTTTATCAGAGGACGAAATGCATCGGCTATAAAAGTTTTCTTTTTGGCTTTATATCGTCGCAGATATACTTTTAGCTATATCTGAAATTTTACACAGACACACACACACAGACACACACATACATATATACGATATATATGATATATATTGTATATGTGTGTGTGTGTGTGTCTGTGTGTGTACATACATTTAAATTACATATACTTATATATACATATATGTGAGTGCAGGATTAATATTTTTCCTAGAGGAAAACATTAATTTATTAAGGGAATAATAAAGTCTTTTTCTAAGGTAA